GCAACATATACATTCCAGGCCTTCTTGAGTGACCTAATTGTAAGAGTTCGTTTGAATTGACTTAACAAAAAAAATAGTTTTTAAGTTAAAATAAATTAAAAATCAAATTTAAATGATAGTTAAGACAAAAATAAAAAGTAGGGTGAAATCTACTTTTGATTTTTAACTTTTTTTAAAAGTTATTTTAAATTTATTTTATATTATTTTTAACCTTGTTAAATATTTTCAAAAGCTACAAATAAAAACTTATTTTTAAGCTAATCCAAACAAACTCTGAATCCCTCCTTCATTAATCATTATATTATGTCATAGCAATGATGTGATGATTAGTTTGCGACATCTCAATTATTATATCACTGATTTGCTATCGATTATTAGCATACATATTAGACAATTAGGTAATTTGCTACCAAAATTTAAGTAGATCGATGGAAAAGAAAATCACCTAATGATTTTGTTATAGTTCGTCTTAATGTGTTTGTCATACTTTCTGATAGTAGCGAATTCAGGATAGTCACTAAGGAGTGTCAATGATTGTAGTAATAAAATATAATTATGAGATTAGGAGGAGATTAGAACACGCAATCTCTAGGATTTTTCAATATGAACTACGTAATGCGTTAATAGAGCATTTATGGGAGTACCGTAGTGATCTTGAAAGTTGAATATTTATGTAGAATTTAAAATATTTTTTTCAATTATGTAATATTTAATTTAATTGTATTTCATTAATGATTTCACTTTTTATTTGTATTATTTCATTATTATGTATAATGTATAATATTTGCTAGCAATTTGTATTATTTAAAAAATTATGATATAAAAATAATTTTATATTAAACGACTATAAAAGAAAATAATATGAATTATATATGGTGAATGTTCTAGAAAGAATTTGTTTTATGAAATAAGAAAATATCAATGAAATAAGAAATAATAATATAATAATGAAGAAAGAGAGAAAAATATTTATTTTTGATGTAAAATTTAGTGCAGTGGATTGAAGTTGATTTACACTAAAATAATGCTGAAACCAAATTTGATATACAATTTGATGTTTGGGTTGAAAATCCCTTAGATTTTGTAGCTATAAATATACTGTGTTGTAGTAAACCAAGACTACTTGCTAACTTGCTCAGTTAATTTTTTTTTAGATTCACACGAAATTCAAAAAATATCATATAAATAAATATTGCTTTGCTGTTTTAATGTCTTTTAATATTCACATCGTTTTTATTTATATGTTACAATTTTAAATTTTACATGCATTAAGAAACTAAGTAAGTTTACTATTATATCTTTATTTAATATCTTTTTGAAGTTAGATTTTTAATCGATGAACATGAATTTTAATTTATTTTGATTAATTAGTTTTGTCAATGGACATGAATTATTTACTTAATTGATCAAATATATATTTTCAAGGCTAATAATTCATAAAGGCAAAAAAGAAAAATAGTGTCATTTAACATTTATTTTATGAAATAACGAATATTATGAATTATCTATTGTTAATTAGAACGATATATAAATGGGAAAAGGGTCAAATGCCCCCTCAACCTTTAGCCATATTTCCAACTACACACTTAACCTTTTCGGGGGTCCTATTACCCCCCTGAACCTTTTTATTTTTATATTATTTCACCCTCAGACGCTGATGTGTCCACATAAACCAGATTTATAAAAAATGTTTGTATACACGCGCTGTCCACGTATATATTAGTGGACCCCATGACTTTAACTCACATATTGACACGTGTCATAAAACTTTACCTTTACCTTTGAACCAAATTAACCCTCATTCTTCTTCCTTAGATTAATTCTCGATCTTCTTCCTAAATCTCTAGTTCTTCTTCCTTTTCTCTACGATCTTCCATTATTGACGTTGCTCGGAAGCTTAGCTTCCTTTTCTCTACGATCTTCCATTATTGACGTTGCTCTAGTTACTTTTTCTTCTGAGAAAAGGTTAGATCTTTACTAGCTAAATACTATTTTGATTTAGTGTTTGATTAGGGTTTTATTTTTACTGCGTATTCAAATGCTATTTTGACTGGTGTGTTGTAGTGTGGAGGTTTTTAGGGCCTTTTAATGTTTATTAGGGTTAGTTCTAATTGAACGTTATTCTTTACCAACTGAATGTTATGTTGATATTTGATTTTAGTTTTGATGGTAGTGTTGATTTTTAGGGCATTTGTTGCACAGGCATTCAAATGCTATTTTGATATGTGTGTCGTTGTATGTAGTTTATTAGGGTTTTAATAGCTATTTACTTGTTTTCGTGAATTTATACAGTCTTGTAGTTTACTGGTAAAGTACAACCTCAAAAAGTAGAGTTTCTCATTCCTTACTAGTGTTACCTCTGTTCAGGTAGGAGATGAGTGGATTTACTTTGGTTACTTTAAGATGGTATCATGGTGGAGTATTAGATTTGAGTAGTGGACAACTAGTTTACAGTGGTGGGCAAGTTACAGAGTTTTTGGATGTTGATGTGGATAGACTGTCCTATTTTGAATTAAGAGGCTACATTAAAGAATTAGGATACACAACAACTTGCACGTTTAGTATTAAACCTCCTAACAGTGGCATTTTGGAAGATATTCATAATGATATGGATATTTTAGACTTAAGTTGTTCTTTGGAAGATGGAGATATTGTGGAGGTATATGTAAAGCACTTGATTGATGATGCAGTTGTGGACCCCACCCTTTTTTTATTAGAAAATGTTCCTCATGGGGATATGGAGGAATCTGGTTCAACTTTTAATAAAGTAAATGAACAAAGTGGGGTAGGTGAAGACCCTTTTACTACCTTTGATACTAGATCTGCTTCTACCCCAACTCCTCCCACCACAACTTCTTCTCCTAGATCTCCTTTCACTACCACAACTCATTCCACTACAACTGCTGCTCCTAGATCTCCTTCCACTA